TGGCACAGTGCCCAGAACATGCTGTGCTCTCAGTGGATAGTTGACAAACATACCTGTGAGTTAAACAAAACGTGTGTTACTCAGATTCTACAGGACGGGCACTAGGAGCAGTGAAAAGATGAATGGGATCCGGCCCTCCTGAAGCTCACAGTCTAGTAAGAAAGTAACTACCAGATCCTAACAGTCCAGTGTGGTGAATGCCATGCTAGCAAAATCCAGAGCGCTGGAAGCAGTCGGACAGGCTCACAGAGTCCTGCCTTCTGCAGTAGGCGGGGTTTTCACACTTGCTTTGCCAGGAATGGCAGGACAGTCAAGCCTTCATTGAAAATATAAGTTTCTTTTATAGTAATTCCTATAAAGAATTGTTACTTTACAATAATGATAATTATTTTAGAGTTATCTGGAATATTAAAAACAATGCAGAAGTTTGACCATAACAGATTGGACCATGTCTACACTTGCACCTGGGATACGTGGGGTGGGCTATTCATTACACAGCTATTAAAAGTCACGATTTAATAACTTTTTCAGGATACGTTAGCTGTACACCTTACTCTAGGAACACTATCAATGTATGAGAATTTATTTGTATGTGGCCATGAGCACCCCCGGGTGTGCCTGATGACACACATACATGCACTCAACTTACATCAAAATGTTACCATTTTATGATTCTGAGTAATGAGATTGTAGGTAATTTTTCTCATAGCATTTAATATATTGCAACTTTTTTTGCCAATATTCACTATCTTTATTACGAAATAAAATCAATAAAATATTTATAGAAACAAGCATCATAAATATGGGATTTTGCTGCTTTTCTTTTCAGGGTGGATAAAGTGTCCAGTTGTCATATCCCTGTGCTAATGGATATTATATTTAACAACAACAAAAAAAAAATACAGCCCTGTCAGATGCCACTCAGCGCCATGCCGAGGTCCAGGGCACGCTGGTGACTTGAAAGAAATCAGCCTCACGGCCCAGAGCGTTCTGCGTCTTCTCCCCTTTCCTTACATTTCTGTCTGTTTTGGAGCAATGCTTTTGAGGAGTTTGCTTCCAGGAGGGTCTGAGTCTTGGTAGCTCATCTCCAGGTCAAACTGTTTTTCTGTTCCTGTGAAATGTGGTTGACACCATCCATGGGCTGTTTGCCTTTCCTTCTAGATCAACCCTACCCGGGACCTGAGGTTCTGGCCTGGCCTCTGGGCCCTGGCTGGTATAGGAGCCGAGTCGGGGGCCCTGACGGGGCAGGATGGCGGCATCTCAGTTCTGGCCTGGCCTCTGGGCCCCTGGCTGATGCAGGAGTCGGGGGGTCCCTGATGGGGCAGGACGGTGACACCTCCTTTCCCTACCTCTGCAGCGGACGATCGTGCCTCCTGGTGGGGATGATTATTGATTAAAGCGTCTGAATTCAATCAGAAGCTGTTTCCTGGTCCTTACATGTGTTTTCATCAGGAGCAGACGTGACCATTCTCTTTCCTTCCTTCTATTGATTTAAAAAGAGTAGCCTGGCCAAAGAATAAAGCAAGCAGCCCAGTGCACACACAGACACACACACACACGTAAACACACACGCACCCCCCTCACGCATACACACACACACGGACCCCTCCCACATGCACATATGTGCACGCACACACACATGCACACACAGGAGCCAACATACTGTAACTTTTCTGTGTTTTAGAAAACTCCTTTGTTTAGGTTGTGGGTAGAAGGACTTTGGAGCCTTGATAACCTCTGACAACTATGTCCCCAGCCGGGTGCAGTATGGTGGCTCCCTGCTGCAAATAAATGGACTTTCTCCTTTTATTCATGATTCATACCTCGAATAAAGACAGCAGCAGACAGTACAGCTCTTTGAAAGATTTCTTTGCAACATGGATTAGGTCTTGAGAATTGTTTAATCTAAGCATGACTGTGAAATGTTGACAGAAAGATATGTAAAACACGGGTCCAAACACGGAATGATTCAGAAACAAGGATTGGTACAGATAAATCACCCTTCTTGACCATAGAGGTACAAACTATTGGATTCTGAACAACCATTAAGAGTGTTTGCCTTTATTTTCTTTGATTTTGGTGAAGACGAAAAACATTGAGATATATGGATTTATTGTTTTTAAACATGGTTTATCACTTCTTCAAATATGCCTACTTCCCTCCAATAGGAAGCCAGAGCAGTACATTTCCTGGTATCTACTTTCACACGCAGACCACATCCATACTCGTGCAAGCACACACTCACGCACACACATGGGTGTGGTGTGGTCCAGGAACCGGGTTCCGAGTCAGGTGCGCCTTGTTGAAATCTCAGTTCCACTTCGCACCTGCTGTGTGACCTTGGGGAACTTGCAATAACCTTTCTGAGTCTCCAGTTCCTTATGTGCGAAATGGGGTAAAAATAATGTTTTGAGGTAGAGTTGCTATGCATGTTCGTGGGTTGAAATCCCTGGTGGTAAGTGTGAGTTCCTCCTCATGGTACCAAGATCAGACCCCGCCAAGGACTGGCAGCTCTGGAACCAGCATAGAGCTGCACCTTCTAGGTGCTTGTGAGGTGAGAAAAGCATTTGGGGAGAATTTATCAGTGTTTCCTTCTGCTTTAAGCCAGTTCAGCCTGTTTCTAATCCCCGAAGTTCTTTGATTGTCTTCAGTGTAAATAGTGAAGATACTTTGGTAGTAACAACAAAAGAAATCATTGGAGGTGGAAGAACGTGTCAGGAGAGGAAAAATGGATAGTCTCTCCCAGCCTGCTCTCTCCATTTAAGTGATTTGGATCAGAAGAGCAAACAGTTTCTAGCAGATGTTAACATCGGTTAAATAATTAATTCCACAAGCTCAATCATGGTGTTGGCAAGTCAGTGACCTAAGGCCTCCATGTCTGAGCCTGAGAATCGAGTGACTCAAACATCGATTCAGGTACGAAGTCAGGCTGGGCAGGGACGGGGTGGGGCTGCCTTAGGGTTTCCAGGTTGTCTGTTGCTGAAAGCCAAGTGCAACCAGCAGGTCACACCCCGTCCCCACCCCGGCTGCCCTTCCAGAAGCCTGGGATGGTGGCGTGGCTTTAAGAGCTCTTGGGAAGGCCAAGGTCAGTTCCTAGCTGGAGATGGCTGTGGCCAGTGTCTTGGCAGCATCCAGGCACTGAAAGGATGATGAAGTTTCTCTCCTGCTTGGAGAGCAGGGGCGATGATTACCAGGAGTGGAGAAACTCGCCTTCTTTTGGAAAAACGCAATGAAGGGATTCAATTTCCAGAGCAATTAATCTAGTGCCTCTGGGGGTTTTACCTGTAACTCGGGAGCTGCCTTCTGTGACCCCATCGAGGCCTGGGAGGATCACCCTTCCCCAGTGCTGCTCGGAAGAAAGCGTTTGACCCGAGGATCACAACACAGGCACCTCATGAGTTATGCATGAAAAATCATCAAAGTACACAAAGCCTGACTGGCAAAGACCAACCTGATGGCATAGGAAAGACAGAGGCTCCGGTCAAAGGAGGCCACGTCCTCAGAAGGGTTTACGTTTAGAATGAGTTGGGATAATATCCAGTGACTTGTTTTGGTTCTTTGAGTTAAAAAAACACAAGCAGCGTTTATGTAACAAGTGTTTCAATTCTGCACGGTTGCCAGGGCCCTCTGCGGCAGCCTGCTAAGCAGGCGTGGCGGATGACGGGTGAGCCAGGGCCGCTGGCCACAGCTCTTTCATTTTCCTGCAGAGCTCAACAGGAAAGGCTGCGCTGACATGGAACCAGTGAGCCCTTTCCTCTGCCTGTTGGGCAATTTGCACGGGCTCTGAACCAACGTAAGTCCTGTGCTCACTCACGAACAGGAAGGTTAGAACTCCACCCGCTCAGGGACCATTTACCGTGGTCTCCTGTGTTTGATCTTTCTAAGCAAGGGATAGGGGGCAGAAGCCCAATTCTTTCATTTTCTCACTGTGGAGCCCTGAACAATGACCCCTCCCAATATAGTTTTACTTCGTAATCTTCAGAACCTGTGACAAATATCTTACACGGTAAGAGGTGGGATTAGGTGAGGGAGCTCTTGAGGAGGAGCTGATCCTGGATTTGCCTGGTGGGCCCTAAATGCAATAAGAGGCCCCAGGTGAGAGAAAGGCAGAGGGAGTTTGATCACAGACACAGAGAGGGCAGTGTGGAGATGGAGCCGGGAGGTGTGGCTGCAGCCAGGGGAGGCCTAGAGCCCCGCAGAGCATCAGGAGGCTGGAAGGAGCCTTCCTGGACCTTCAGGGGAGCTCACTCTGCCTGCACCTGGAACCAAGATCATGGGTCTCTGGCTGCAGTTCTGTGAGCGGGTTGATCTGTTGGTTAAGGCCACCAGTCAGTGCCGTTTGACTCGGCGTCTATGGGAGAGAAATACAGTCCGTTCCTCCTTCCTGGAGCCCCCTCCCCTGTCCTTGGCTTATGTCCTCCGGCATGCCATGAGCTGTGGCCACAGCGACCCTCACGCTCCAGACCTTTCTGCCTGGCTTCTGCTGAGGTCTATCTAGCATGGCGGACCCTCCCTCACGTCCCAGCCCTGACTCCCCTCATCTACCCGACGGTCCCCGCTCAGCGGCTCTGAGCGCTCCCAGGAGAAAGCTGTGTTCATGGCTCGGCACTGATGGTTGCTTTATATAAATGTCACTCACGGCAGCGGACGCCTCTTCAGGCGGAATCCACGTGGCAGCTGTTGTGTTCCTGCGGGCAACTTGCTCATGAGTTTGCACTGTCACTGGAGGTTGAACAAAAATCTCATTTATTCAATTCCAGGCTGGAGGTAGTCTGCGTCATTTCTTCATCTGGTAGATAGCATTTTTTTTTTTTTAAAATTCAGGATTTAAACCCTTTCTAGGAAACAGACATCTCTAGAGAAAAATGAAAGCATAAATCTACCTCTATAAGCTTGAACAAATACATTACAGTAAAGCTCTGTTAACTCAGACTAACTTGAAGGAAATGCTGCTTGTTAGCGGAAAAGATCTTTTAAAGTAAAATAAACATGGTACCCACCTTTGATCACTGTGGATTCCGGAGCAATGTTCATATTCCATGCAAGGAGGCAAAGGGCCAGGTTCCAACGTGGGATTGTTTCTCCTGCCCCGTTGCCAAGGAGGGACACATGCAGGAAAACGGGAATTTAAAGGATTGCTGACTGTGTCTCCCAATGCCCCAGCCAAGGGCTCCAGAAAAGTGAGCGGGGGCCAGGCATAGAGCCCAGGCGGGGGTCCCAGGCTAGGCCTCACTCCCAGCTCCATGGAACCTCAGCCCTGCTGGCTCCAAAGGCCAAGACCCTGTGATACAAGAGTTATTCAGAAATAATTTTTAGGCAGATAGTAAAGGTAAAGGTTCTCGGTGTAAATTTCCCTGTAATAAAAAACACCGGAACCATCTCTTTTCTAAAAGAAAAGGCAGCTTAAAGGGCCGGACTGGCAAGCTTTGAGATGCAAATGCCGGCCATTAGAAACTGGGTCACTCAATAAGGCAGTTCCCGCTGTCTTCTCCTTGCCAGCACGTGTACCAAGTTCATGGCCACCTCCAGATAACACTATGTGTTGGGAACATCATGGAGACGCGTATTTGCATATTAAAGGACTAAGGTGGGAGGGACAGGTTTTTCTCAGGCTATGTAAATGACACACCTGGTCAAGCCAATCCCCTGGCCTTATGCAAACCAGACACCGCCTCCTCCAGCATCCCAATAGAAGCAGCCCCTTTTCTGCCCCACAGGGGGGTTTTCTCTTTGTCCGAATCCTCCTCCCTCTGCTCTGTACGGGGTTAGGGGGGAGGGGAGCTGCTTTCTTCTTCCGTCCTGTTTTCATGCCTATTAAACTTTCTGCACTGGGCCTGCCGCCCCTGCCAGTGGCTCAGGGGCTGGAGGGGCCTAGACCCAAGTGAGCAGTAAACAGCCTCGATCTCTCTCTGTCTCTCTGCATCTCTGTCTCTGTCTCTCTCTCATCCACATCTTTGGAGACAGCCTGGCCTCCTGGGGATGGTGGGCCAGGCCTGTGAGGTCGGGGGGATCCAATCACTAAGCAGAGGATACAGAGCCCAGCCTGTGCTGCCTCCCTGGCCCCACCGCTCTTGGGGGGATGGGAGACGCTGCCTCAAGTCCTCACCCGGCCAGTGGAGATGGGGCACGGGTCTGGCATATGAAAGAGCCGTCCTGTTCAGCCCTGCCCCTGCAGAACCAGCCTCGGGTGTGCCTGTGACGGCTCCATGGAACAGGCCACTGCAGATTCTGCCGTGACAGTCAGGACGCTGGAGGGCCCCTGCCACCATAGGGCCTGACTAGGGGCAGCTGGGCCCGAGCGGGAGCAGGGGCGGCCTGTGGGGAGAGGCCTTGGCTCACCATGTGCTGGCTCTGCAACTCTTACTAAACCAGCACTGACATCCACGGCCTCAAAACCCTCTGGTGCAAGCTTGGAGTTTGTGTTCATCCTTCTGCGTTTTCAGGGGGCTGAGCACGTTGCTTCCCGGCCTCCTGCTCCCCACAGATGAGGCTGTGCTTGGGTCACAGCTTCCACCTCATTCTGCTCCATCTTCAGTGTCTGTGATATGGGCACGTGTCTGTTACGTGTGTGTGCTGTGTGTCCCTGTGTGTGTTTGTGTGCTGTATGTTTGTGTGTATGTGTATGTTGTGTTTTATGTGTTTGTGGTATGTCTGTTCATGAGCGGGTCTGTACGCTCTGTATCTGTGCATGTGTGTGTTTGTGTATGTGTGTGTCTGTACGCTCCATGTGTATCTGTGCATGTGTGTGTCTGCCCATGTGTCTGTATGTTCTTGTGTGTGTGCATGTCTGTATCTGCTGTGTGTGCATGTATGTGTGTGTGTATGCTCTGTTTGTCTGTGTACATGTGTGTCTGTATGCTGTATGTGTGTGCAGGTATGTGTGCATGTGTGTATACTCTGTGTGTGTCTGCATGCTATGTGTGTGTGCATGTGTGTGCATGTGTATGTGCATGTGTGTGTACATGCTGCGTGTGACTGTGCAGGTTGCATGTGTGCCTGTGTGTATACTCTGTATGTGTCTGCATGTTATGTGTATGTGCATGTGTATGTGCATGTGTGTGTCTGTGCATGTGTGTCTGTACATGCTGTGTGTGTCTGTGCAGGTTGCATGTGTGCATGTGTGTATACTCTGTGTGTGTGTGCATGTGTGTGTGCATGTGTGTGTCTGTGCATGTGTGTCTGTACATCTGTGTGTGTCTGTGCAGGCTGCATGTGTGCATATGTGTATACTCTGTGTGTGTCTGTATGCTGTGTGTGTGCATGTGTATGTGCATGTGTGTGTCTGTGCGTGTGTGTCTGTGCATGTGTGCCTGTACATGCTGTGTGTGTCTGTGCAGGCTGCATGTGTGCATGTGAGACCTTGCTTTGTTTACCACATGGGGTAGCTCCCTAGGAAGGCACCTCTGCAGGGTCCTGTTGCACAAGCGTTCCCACTGAGCTGCCTTCATGCTGCCCGGACCCACAGTTGAAAGCTGAGCTCTGCATCCCGTGCCCGGAGCAGGGCCTCTCCTTGCTGTGTTTTTGCTGCAGGAAGCATCCTCTCAGAATGGGTGCTTGGTGGAGACTGGAGCCTGGCCCTTCCACGTGCTGCTCTCAGGCCCCTGGAGGTGACCAGGCCAGTGAGGGTGGGGCCCTAAAAACCTGTAGCCATGGGAGGGTATGCCCAAGCCTGAGGTCTCTTCCTCATGAGGGCCCTGGCCACCAGCTGGGTGTGCACTTGCAGCTCCAAAGATGCCCCATGGATCCCACCTTCCAGTGTTGCTGGGTCCTGCCTGGCTCTGTGCTTCCTGCCAGCAGAGGGTGCGGTGACAGCTTGCCTTGTTGTTCCTTGTGCCCTGAGTGACTCTGTGCCCCAGAACCCCTAGGCTGACCTAAGCCCCAGTGTGGCTGCTTTGGAGATGGGACCTTGAGGCAGGTCGTTAAGGTTAGATGAGGTCATGGGGGTGGGCCCTGACCCCATGGGATTAGTGTCCTTGGAGGAAGGGACACAGGAGAGCTCTCTCTTTCTCTCTCTCTCTGTGCACAGAAGAAGGAAAGACCTGTGTGGGCACAGCACAGAGGCAGCCCTCTGCAAGCTGGGAGGCAGCCCTCTCTAGGAGCCAGCCCTGTTCACGTCTTCGTCTTGGACTCCAGCCTCCAGAACTGTGAGAAAACAATTTCTGTTGTTAAGTAGCTGGGACGACAGGCATGTGCCTCCACACCCGGCTAATTTTTGTATGTTTTGTAGAGACAGGGTTTCACTATGTTGCCCAGGCTGGTTTCCAAGTCCTGGACTCAAGCAATTCACCCACCTCTTCCTCCCAAAGTACTGGGATTACAGGTGTGAGTCACTTTGCCCGGCCTCCAGAACCCTTTTATTTTCCCAAGTGGAAACTGTCCCCATTAAACACTCACTCCCCTTCCCTCTCCCCAGCTCCTTGCAGCCTTCACCCTCCTTCCTGTCTCTGTGGTTTGACTTCGCTAGGGAACCTCAGATCAGTGGGCCCATGATTATTGTTTATGCTGCTTGTATCTTTAGACATAATTGAATTTTGAAATAAAAAAAGAAAATCAAAAATAAAACGTCACATTTTAAATCAAGAATTCCAGCTGCCTTTATTTTACAAAGAATAACATGGCCACGTGAATTCACAATTCTAATGAAGTGTGACCTAGTCCTGTCACCCTGAATTCATCAGAGATCAGGGGCGTGGCCTCGGAAACCTCAGGTCTCCAGGAATCCGCCAGGCCTTTCCCACACAACCAAAGCGAGAAGCAGAAGTGTATCTCAGTGTCTCTACAAGTTTGTCGTCTTTTCTTGACTTCAACCAAATCTTCACAGGAGAATAATCAGCAAATCAATGTAATTTTTATTTCTTGTTCACTGGTATGAGAACTGTTAGATTATCAAGCCACTCTGTAATGAATGTCTCTTTATTAGCAGAGTTGATTCCACAAAACCCACTATGAACATATTTGGGGCACAGCCGATTGCTATAAACTATAACAAAGCAAGGCTGTCATGCTCACGAATTCAGGGCGGGGCTCAGCTCTGAGGGTAGAGCAGGGCTGGGACCCCGGCCTGGGATCCAAAGTTGTTTTTCTTAAGTTGGGTGGCGGGGCAAGGGTATTTGTTAGTGCCTCGTTGTAGTGTGGAAACGTGTGTTGGTGCCTATCCCATCGAGAATACAGAACAACGGACGGAGGACATTGGTGCTCACTGGCTAGCAAGGGGGGCAGCAGGGCAGCGGGCAGGGCTGGAGGGTGTGAGAGGGGCATAGGCGCTGCAGGATCCCCAGTCTGGAGACACTTTGGAAAGTAGTACAGCGTGCGTGGGGGACAGGGGGCAAGGAGCAGGAGGGTCCACCCTTGTGTGGGGCAGGGGCGGGGTCCACCCTTTCGTGGGCATCTGGAGGCCCAGGGAGGCTTCTCCGGACTTCATCCTGAAGGGGTAGAATCCACCCTCCTGCTGGGATTCTGGCGGTATCCTTGTGGTCCTGGAGTGGCCGGTGACTTGATGTGGGTCCTCATGCCCAGGGGGACCGAGGATCAGCCTGAGGCTGGGCTGAGTGAGGGCCCGGATCTTGGAGGCTGCAGCTTAAACAGAGAAAAATGAGTGGATCTGAGAAATTTGCAGTTTCAGAGATGAAATTGACAGGCCAGAGTGGCGAGTTGGAGCAGGAGGCGGAGACAGGGTGGAGCTTCGGAAAACAGAAACAAAGTTAAGCTGAGATACAGCAGTGCCCGCGATGCCGAGCGCCTACTGAGTGTTCATGCTCCGGCAATTTCATCAGTCATTTTGTCTGTCAACCCTGTGGTGGGGGGGGGGTTCTCTCTGCAGTCAGCCCCTCCCCAGACAGAGCCACCGCCTGGATCCCGGGATCTGAGGATGAAAGCGCTGAGAGCCCCTAGCAGGCCCTGGGGGACCGATGAATCCGTGACGGGCAGCGCGGCCTCAGGCCCCTTGTGAGTGGGATCGCGTTGGCGTCCCCCATGGGAGATGCCACTGCAAAGTCCAGATCCCTGAAGAGCCCCGACGGAGCCACGCCAGACAGTTCTTCTCCCCGAGGCACTGGCTGAGCTGCCTCATTGACTTCCCCAACCGGGTGGTTTGGAAAACGGGACACCCATCATTTGAGCTGCGACTTTGCCCCCTCTCACAGCTGTGTTGTATCATCACTTTACATTAATGTTAAAAAAAAAATAGAGGCTGGGCGCGGTGGCTCACATCTGTAATCCCAGCACTTTGGGAGGCCAAGGCGGGCGGATCACTAGGTCAGGAGATCGAGACCATCCTGGCTAACACGGTGAAACCCCGTCTCTACTTAAAATACAAAAAATTAGCCGGGCGTGGTGGCGGGGCCTGTCGTCCCAGCTACTCGGGAGGCTGAGGCAGGAGAATGGCATAAACCCGGGAGGCGGAGCTTGCAGTGAGCCAAGATGGCACCACTGCACTCCAGCCTGGGCGACAGAGAGAGACTCCCTCTCAAAAAAGAAAAAAAGGAAAGGCACGCGGCAAAGCCTCCAAGTACAACCTGTGATGTATTTTGCACTACTTATTCCATTTGATAGAAGCTGAAGAAAAAGGATGAGTGGCTGTGCCTGAA